ATGAGCCGGTGTCCTGAGGAGGACAAGGTCAGACTCGCTTCATGTCTTCTGAAGGACAGAGCGAGGGATTGGTGGGAAGAGATTGGGCATGCCTTGGGTGATGATTCCGCGTTGGACGCGATGACTTGGAGTGATTTCTTAGCTAGGTTCAGGGTGGAGTTTTCGCCAATTATTGAGGTGCAGCAGTTGGCCCGGGAGTTTCTGGATTTGACGCAGACCACTGAGACTATGGCGGAGATCACCGCCAAGTTCAGGGAGAGGGCCCTTCTTGTTCCGCACTATGTCGCGGATGAGGAGATGAAGAAGGCTCGATATCACGAGATGCTGAGGGATGACATCAGGGAGTTCGTGAGCAGGTCCGGTTGTAAGACGCTGGAAGATATGATTTCTCGTGCCAGGGAGAGGGAAATTGATTTGGAACAGATCCGGAAGAGGAAGTCGGATGAGGTTCAGGTAGCCGCGAGTTCGGGCAAAAGGCCCAAGGGATCGAATTCGAGATCGAGGGATTATCAGGACCGCAGTCGATGCGGAAAATGTAGCAGGGCGCACGGGGGCGCGTGCAGGAGTGGTAGTGGTGGTGAGTTTGGCTGCTTCAGGTGCGGTCGGACAGGTCATTTTAGCAGGGATTGTACTGTTACCATCACTCAAGGATCAGACTTGATATGCTTTCACTGCAATCAGCGGGGCCACAAGAAGGCCCAGTGCCCCAATTTCTTTTCAGCAGGACAGATGATGGCACCTGCCGCTGCAACCTTGAGGATCACAGACGGCCGTCAGGGCCGTGCCGAGGCGCCTGCAGTAGGAGGCTGGGCTTTTCAGATGGCTACCTTGGAGACGCGAGCAGCGCCGGACGTTGCAGGTATGCGATTTCCGTTTTCAGTTCTTTTGTTTGTGCATGATGTTATATTGTTATGGTTTCTGCATCATTATCGGTATGAGCATTTCATTTTGAGCGGTTTGATTGTGATCGAGTTATATGCCATCTGCATACCTTGGATATCTGCTTAGTAGTTAAGGGATGGGTTCTATCAAAGAAGGTTACTTAGGGTGCAGTAACTGTAGCATGTCTTGGAGGGACTCGGTATGTCTCGCTAGTTCGGAGCCGTATAAGTTTTAGAAATGGACTAGTTAGATCCCTAGCTATGGTAAGCGTGGGATTCCTTAGCAGATTGATTATGGAATGGTAGCAAGGATTGGGATTTCTCTTCATTGAGCATCGAGGTGTAAGCAGGATCGAAGTGGGGGAGAATCCTCCGAGTGTACAAGGGTAAGAGCACGCAAATCCAGAACGAGTATGCGATTTCTGAGAAGGAAAAGAGGTAGTTCAACATTGGATGGATTGAATAGTTCAGGGTTGGGAGTTTGAGAAACTCCCCATCAGTCCGTGCGTGTAAATGGTAATGGTGAGTATGTGGTTCGGATTCCGGTGAAGGCTCGCCTGTAGGACTCGTGTGAGTCAGAATGGAGATCTTGAGGTCAAATAGCATGGGATGCTTTCGTGTTAGCAGTCAGTGGCAGAAGCAGCATGTAGAGCATGGAAGAGTGGCGGGAGAGCCTCGACTTTCTTCAGCAGCAGTCAGTGGTGGAAAGTGATGTAGACTACGGGGCAGCCGTAGCATTCACTAGCAGTCAGTGGTGGGAAGTGTTGTCAGACTACGGGGCAGCCGTAGCATTCACTAGCAGACGATGGTAAGAGGTGATGTAAGACTGCGGGTAAGCCGTAGCATTCAGTAGTAGCTTCGTTGGCGGAGTCGGGGGGAGGCCCTTATCTCCTAGCATTCAGATAGGGACCAGGAATGGGTAATGGATGAGAATGGTAAGGAGTTTGCCTGTATAGCCTTGAGAGGTGAGACCTTGGGAGAAGCCGTTCTAGGATATATTTGGGTGAGACCCGTATGAGAATAAGCAGTGTAGGTGAGACCTGAGAGCAGGGATGCTCAGTAGTATGGTTGGGTGAGACCCGTGGGGGAGGCCCTTACGAGAGTAGTTAGGCAAGCGAGACTAGAAGGATAGGGGCGGGTGAGACCCGTGGGCGAGGCCCATGAGTTTTAGCAGCACAAGTGGGACCTGGTAGGGATCTTAGTGTCTAGATAGGGGATCGGGGATCCCAGGAAATTGTAGTGCCAGCATGGTAGAATGGACTGATTAGTATAGGTGGTTGAAGTTTCTTCGAATGTCGCTGGGAGTGACTAGTGGTTGTGTTGGGCCAGCGATCGGTGGGAGTCGGTAGTCCAGATATTGATAGGTTGGTAGGGACCAGGGTGGTCTTAGTTCATCCGGAAGCCAAATAAGGAATAGCAAGATTTCTAGTCAGTAGCAGTGCGAGTATGCAGCGTATGGTGGAATTCAATTAGTTGATCGCGGGGGTGCTCGACACCAAAGGATAGTAGAAGGAATGCCTAGTGGATACTGGCGACAATGACCCGTACTCGGAGTAACGGGAGTAATAGATTGGGTGAGGACAGGGTCTTCACAGTGGCAGAGGAGATAGATGGTTATGGAGCATTGCCTTGGGAAGGCAAGGAAATCACGCAAGGAAAGAAGGGTTGAACCCCTATGGGTTTAGTTGCAGTACTCGGAGAGTACCAGAAGAATTGTCGGTTGAGTAAGTTGTGTTTCCAGAATGTTCAGGGTCAGGATGGACCCGAGATTATTATCCGTAAGGATTGACGTTAGTCTGAATGACTGAGCGGAAGGCCAACAAAGGTAGGCAGCTGCTATTAGAATGAATGGTGGGGTATTGAAGGCAGATCACAGGCGGTGGATCATAGCAAACTTCGAGGACGAAGTTTAGTTTAAGTGGGGGAGAGTTGTAACACCCAAAGTTTGGAAGGCCAAGAAAGGAAAGAAAACCCTAATTTTAAGGGCAACTCGGCGAGTCCAATGATGAACTCGGCGAGTCCGAGCGGGATCTGTACTACTGAAAGCATAGGATCCGTACTGGATTATGAGGACACATTTAGCCTAGTGGCTAAGATAACTACAATTAGAGTTTTGCTAGCTTTGGTGGCAAGTAAAAGATGGAATCTATGACAAATGGACGTGAGCAACGCTTTTCTGTATGAAGACTTAGACCATGTGATTCATATGGATCAACCTCATGGTTTTGAGAGTAAAAGTCATCCAAGTTATGTGTGTAAACTTAAGAAAGCCTTGTATGGGCTAAAAGAGTCTCCAAGGGCATGGTTTGGAAAAATGGCTGAATTCCTTGAACATAACGGGTATATAAGTACTCCAGCAGATGCTAGCTTATTTGCGAAGAAGGTTGGAACCAAAGATGACTTGATAATTACAGGTGACTTGGAAGATATGATCAGTCAACTCAAAGAGAATCTGAGCACTCGTTTCCATATGAAGGACTTGGGAAGACTAAGACACTTTCTAGGACTCGAACTAAGTTATGATGATGAAGGCATAGTTTTGCATCAACGAAAGTACTGTACTGATTTGTTGAAGAGGTTTAGAATGTTGGAATGTAAAGCAGCAGTGACACCCATGGATACTAATGCTAAACTGTGTGCACAGTCAGGAAGTAAGATAGAAGATGCAACACTATACAGAAAGATAGTGGGAAGCCTGATTTATCTCACCTTGACGCGACCAGATATATCATTTGCAGTTGGTGTTTTAAGCCGATTTATGCAGAATCCGAGAAAGCCTCATCTTGGAGCTGCATGCAGAGTATTAAGATACATCAAAGCTACCCTGAACTATGGTGTTCAGTTCAAGAAGGAACCTGATTGCAAATTGATGGGCTTTTGTGATGCTGATTATGCTGGTGACTTGAATACAAGAAGGTCAACAACTGGCTATGTATTCATGCTTGGGTCTAGCATCATATCATGGAGTAGCAAATGTCAACCCACTGTGTCTTTGTCCACAACTAAAGCGGAATATAGAGCTACTGCCATGGCAGCTCAAGAGTGTACCTGGCTTGTTCAATTGTTGAAGAATCTAAACCAGGAAGTTGATTACAACATTCCACTTTTATGTGACAATATGTCCTCTATCAAACTAGCTGAGAATCCCACCTTTCATGCTCGCACCAAGCATATTGAAGTTCACTACCACTTCATTAGAGAGAAGGTCTTAATGGGCGAAATAGACTTGCAATATGTGAAGACTACTAAGCAGGTTACATATATCCTAACCAAGAGTCTAGCAAGTGAAAAACTTATTGAATTCAGCAACATGATGGGTATGGTAGAAGTTGATGTTGAGAGGGAATATTAAATGAGCAACATCTAGATTCAAGCAAGCAGCTAACGTGCTTGCCACTATCCTTACTTTAGTTTTTGTTTATTTTAATTTGTCTAGTATTTTCTCCTCTAGATAGTGGCCACTTATTAAGTTGTAGTTTCATGTTTTCTAGTTAGTGGTAGTGTAGTAGCAGCTATCTTTTCTTTCAGTTATGCCTTTTTATGGCTTCCTTTGTAATCCGTTCTTTTATGTTAATCAGATACACAAGTGTGATTAACTGTGTGTTTCCTTCTTCATTAGATACACAAGTGTGATTAACTGTGTGTTTCCTTCTTCATTGCCTTGTTGTGTACTAGGAAGATTGTTTTTATCAGGTCAACATTTATATTTTTAAATTTTTAAAAAATATATATTCAATTGAAGCTTTGAAAATTTAAAAAGATGAATATATAGTGAAGATTATACAAATAAAAGTAATTTATATAGTTTTTTTTCATTATA